GAGCAGTACCTATTTATCTACTTGCACTTTGACGTGCTTTCGAACTGCTAGGTTGGCAGGAGCAGGAACCGAACAACGAAAGCTCACCCCGTCGCGGGGATTCGAACCACTGACCTTCTGATCGGCAAGTCCTAGGCTCTGTGGCTTAACCCACAGCGCATAACATAGCAACTAACAAAAACAATATCCACCCTCTCCGCCACCAGTTTGAAAGGCTGTCCATTGTTTAACCCACCAAAGGCCTGGGAGAAGAGGACTGTTTGTGCCAGGCACCTAAAGATAGGCAATGAAGGCGTCAGGTGAGCCTCCCTGGGAAGAGCATTCCACAAGCAAGGAGCCACCACAAAAAAGGCTCGTTCTCATGTCACCACCCTCTGGAGGCGGCACAAGAAGGGCACCAGATGATGGTGCTGAGCCATTTAAGGCTTTATAGGACTCATGCTGTGTTGACCTTCTCTCTGCTTTGTAGCTGATGCTGTATCCACACGTAGGCTGGGTGCAGATACAGAGATCACAAGATTACTGCTGCTCTCAGAACTAAGCAATACAGTAGCCATCTCCAAACATCTGAAGGGCTGTCACCTGAAGAATGGGGCAAACTTGTTTTCTGCTGTTCTGGAGGATAGGACCCAACCAATGAATTCAAAATACAATACTGTAAAGGCAGATTCCGACTCAACTTTCTGATTGCAAGAGCTGTTCAGCAGTGGAACGGTTTCCCTCGGAAGGTGGTGGACTTGCCCTCGTTGGAGGTTTTTAAGCAGAGGTTGGATGGTCATCTGTCAGGTGTTTTAAAGCTGTGGTTCTTGCATTGCATGGGGTTGGACTAGATGATTCTTTGGGTACCTTCCCATTCTACAATTCTAAGATCCTAGTACAGAACAGCATCTTGGTTCTCTCCTGAAATTGGAGGATGGAAGGCACTCGCCTGCTCTCCCATTTGCCTGAACATCCCACCACATCGGCTCACCTGCCCCGGCCACACCTCACTGCTAAGCATGCCTTATGAACCACCTCTGCCCCCTTTCCTTGTGGTGGGTCTGTCTCCATCCCAGCTGTTTTCAGAGCAGGGAGGATGGTGTGTTGTGCGGCCTGGAAGCCAGCATCTGTGCTGCTGCGTTCGCTCTCTGAGAGAAAAGTAATTATTCTGCAGGGAACTGGCTTCCTCCCAAGCCGCGGCAGGAGGAAGAAGAGTCTTGGTTCAAGGTTACAAATACCAGAAGCAAGTGTGATGAAGCCCTGGTCATGGGACAGGAGGGAGGGAGAGAGAGAGAAAGCGTGCAAGAGGGTGAGAGAGAGAAAGAAAGAATTTGGCATCCAGAACCTCTTTTCACGCCCAAGAGGCTCAGAGGCGGAGGGAGGCTGTTGTCACCTCGTCTTCTTGTCTGGAGGCCTCCCAAGGCTCCCTCCCCGATCGCCTAGGATACAGGAAGAGTTGCTTCAGCTGTACATATTGCCTGGAGGGCCTGTCTGCATTGGTACGCAGCTCCAAAATCAGAGCACAGGGCGCCCGACTCCAAGTTGATATGAACTGGGGGCTTCAGTTTCCCCCACTCCTCTGGCTGTGCAAACAGCTGGCATAAGAACGGAATTGAGTCCTGCAGTGGCAGCACCAGGGAGTGGGATTAATGGGGGGAGAACAGAAGGAACAAAGTATATTTCTTAGCTGGTGAATTGTGTCACATGTTAAGAAAAATAAGAATATAATAAATTGTGTGCTGGATCAAGCCAGTAGCCTGTCCTTGTTCTCACAGTGGGCAGACAAATGCCTGCGGGAAACCATCAAGCAGGAACTGAGCGCAAGAGCTCTCTCCTCTCCTGTTGCTCCCAGCAACTGGTATTCAAAAGCATTGCTGCCTCTGACCACGGAGACATAGTAAGACCACCATGGCGAGTAGAATCATAGAACTGTAGAGTTGGAAGGGACCACAAGGGTTATCTGGTCTCCTCCTCTCTCCCTCCTTTCTTGGAGGTTTTTAAGCAGAGGTTGGGTGGCCATCTGCCATGGATGCTTTAGCTGAGATTCCTGCATCGCAGGGGGTTGGACCAGATGACCCCTTGGGTCCCTTCCAACTCTAAAATTCTATGACTCTTCCAACTCTAAGATTCATTTAGGCAGGAAGAACCAGATGCACAAATATAGGATGGGGGACACCTGGCTTACTAGCAGTACATGTGGAGAGGATCTAGGGGTCTTGGTGGACCACAAGCTCAACATGAGTCAACAGTGGGATGCAGCAGCAAAAAAGGCTAATGTTCTTCTAGGCTGCATCAACAGAAGTATAGTGTCCAGATCAAGGGAAGTAATAGTCCCACTCTATTCTGCCTTTGTTCAGATCACACCTGGAATACTGTGTGCAGTTCTGGGCACCGCAATTTAAGTAGGAGGTTGACAAGCTGGAAGATGTGCAGAGGAGGGCAACCAAGATGATCAAGAGTCTGGAAACCAAGCCTTATGAGGAACGGTTGAAGGAGCTGGGTATGTTTAGCCTGGAAAAGAGGAGACCGGGAGGAGATATGATAGTCATCTTCAAATATCTTGAGGGCTGTCCCATGGAAGAGGGAGCGTGCTTCTCCTGCTCTGGAGGGCAGGACTTGAATCAATGACTTCAAGTTACAAGAAAGGAGATTCCGACTAAACATTCAGAAAACCTTTCTGACAGTAAGGGCTGTTAAGCAGTGGAACAGACTGCCATGAGAGTGGCAGTGATTTGAATAAGAGAATTATAGAACTGTAGAGCTGGATGGGACCCCAACGGTCATCTAGTCCAACCCCCTGAAATGCAGGAATCTCAACTAAAGCATCCATGACAGATGACCACCCAACCTCTGCTTAAGACCCCCCAAGGAAGGAGAGTCACTTCACTCTGTCTAACGGTAGAGGTGGGCTGGGCTGCCCATCCTCTGCCAGCTAAATGCTTTACAAAACAAAAAGTTGCCACCACACCCAGCACAGGCTGGGAAGAAAAGCCCTGGCAGACAGAGGCAGGGGGCAGAAGGAGGCTGAGGGAAGCAGGACCCCAAGGCCACCAAAACTGTTTGCCGAAATGTGTGCAAACGGCTTTGGGTCCCCTCTCCAGATGTGGCAAGCCCACCTTCCCTGAATGGGAAGATTCACCATAGACTCGGGGTGCGGGGATTAGTGAAAGGCCCGGCTAAGTAGCTAGTCCTTTACTTGAGCTCTTGATGCTAGCAAAGCTGCAGAGCAAACAGAAAGCAGTTTGCAATGGGGGGGGGGCTGCCTTCGCTGCATCTGGACACTTTATTGCCCTGAAAAGCCATCAGAAATGCTGCGCTGGCTGTAAAGCCGGTAGGGCAAGGCTCACCTCTTGACCCCCGGCCAGGCCGGGTGGAATTTTTCAGAGCTGAAAGGCCTATTGGCCATTTGATTTCCTTGTGTTTCCAAGGCCTCCAGCTCTTTCCCCTGTGGAAGCAGGATCTCACCCACCACAAACCCAGGTGCATTCCAGGTGTGGGCTTTTTAGCCTGAGCTCTCACTGTTTTGCAGGACCAGGGAACCAGCTATTGCTATATAAAAGCCTGGGAATTAACCGGTGCATGCACACACAAAACCCTTTATTGTTATTGTTATTATTTGTCCATCACCATCACGGGAGCACAGAAAGTTGCCTTGGACTGAATCGAACAAATGGTCCATCTAGCCCTGAGCCCCAGGCCACACCCCTCCCTACCCCTGCTTTGCACCCCACTCAAGTGTCTTTGCCTGCATCAAATTTGTCAGACGTTGATTCCCCTCCCTCCCCCCCCCCCCATTTTTTGCTTGCCCAGATGGAGAAGAGAAATTAGCCTGCTGTACAAAGGATGAGATTAAATTGGTTGCTCTGTCCACCTTTGGAAGGTTGCCAAGATGGTAATGCAGCCCTGTGGCTGGAAACTCTTCCCCCATAAAACAGCCTCTGATTCTACCTTGCTGACCTTTAAGTTTGACCCACAGCATGCCCCTGCTGCCCCCTCTTCACGCCTGCTTGTCTCCCCGCTGCCTGGCTACAAATTGGAACAGGGCTTTGCCTTCCTGGCTAATGCTCCGCAGACACGGATGCTGCAAATGACAGAGGATGTTCATGAGGATAATGGTAGTAATATTTCAGTAATTTACCTTGCCAACCCAACTGTACTTTAGACTAGCAGTTCTCAGCATTTGCTGGGGTGTATTAAAAGTCTCCTGCCAACCTAGCAGTTCGAAAGTATGTCAAAGTGCAAGTAGATAAATAGATACCACTCTGGCGGGAAGGTAAACAGTGTTTCCGTGAGCTGCTCTGGTTCACCAGAAGTGGCTTAGTTATGCTGGCCACATGACCCAGATGTTGTACGCTGACTCCCTCGGCCAATAAAGCGAGATGAGCGCCACAACCCCAGAGTCAGTCACAACTGGACCTAATGGTCAGGGGTCCCTTTACCTTTATTAAAAGTCACCAGTGTGTGGCTTTCATAGGAATGCTGAGATTAAGAATGAGGGTAAGAGCAAACCAATCCCATCACTGACTTTCAACCTGATGTAACAACAGAAGAAGAGCCTGCAGGATCAGGCCAATGGCCCGTCTAGTCCGGCATCCTGTTCTCACGGTGGCCAACCAGATGCCCCAACGAGAAATCAGCAAGCAGGATTCAAACACAAGAGCCCTCTCCCCTCCTGTGACTTCCAGCAACTGGTATTCAGAAGCAAAGCTGGGTGGCCATCACTGATTCCTGCGTTTCATAGTTTAACCGTACCCTCCAACATTTCTCTGATGGAAATAGGGACATTCAATTGGAGAACAGCCTTTACCAAAGGTGTCGTGGGCTTTGAAGATGCTAGAACTCAGGATGAAAGGGAGAAATGTGGTATAAGGAAGGTGCACTTGGTAAACCTTCACCATAATCAACTCCCGTTTGGAAACCTATGTCCTCACTGTGAAAGGATGTGTGGATCCAGAATTGGCCTCCACAGTCACTTACGGGCTCACTTTTAAAAGCGTTGAAATATATATATTAAAAAAAATTGTCCAGTAGCACCTTAGAGACCAACTACGTTTGTTTTTGGTATAAGCTTTTGTTTGCATGCACACTTCATGAAAGCTTATACCAAGAACAAACTTAGTTGGCCTCTAAGGTGCTACTGGAATATATATATATATATTTGACTGCGTCAGACCAACATGGCTATCTACCTGAATTTTAAAACTGTGTTTATGGAAGACAATCTTACTCAGCTACAAGGGATCGCCAATGATATCATGTTGCCTCTTACTCACCTTTTCTCTAATCTAAAGAGTCCCAAATGCCACAACCTCTCTTCCAGTCCCTCAGTCATTTTGGTTTCCCTACCCCACAGGGTTTTTGTGAGGATAAAGGGGAGGACCTTCTTCTGTGCTCTTTGGGGGGAAATGTGGGGTGGACACAGAGAGAGAGATAACAAGTGCTGGACCCTTGACTTCTAATCGTTTTGGTGTAACTGTGATGTTTAACTTATTTTTTAGTTGTTTTGTTAATAGTGTTACATAGATTTATTTGTGCTTTATTTGTGATTTGTGATTGTTTTACTGGTGATTTGTTAAGTATTCTATACAATTTCTGCTGTATTTGTGTTGTTCCATTATGTTATTTTTATCTTTTGTTTGTACGCCGCTTTGAGATTTATTTGAATAGAAAGCAGCATAGAAATAGAACCAATCAATCAATTGTTCAAAATTGTGGCATGGAATGAGCGGCTTCCTTCCAAAGCCAGGCTGCCCTCGCACCGTCCTGACTCATTATGTGTCTGCAGGCCGTCACACTATTAGCCCTGAATTGGATTTTGCAGAGAACCCGATGCAGTTAGCTCTTGCTTTATCCCCCCATGCAGAAAAGCCCTCCGTCGTCGTCGTCATCCTTCCTCCCAGCCCTCTCTTCCCCCTGCCAGCTGTTTTTCTGCAGATGTGGCCGTTTGGCTCTCTTCTGATCCCTCATTTCCTGCGAGCTCCCTGCTCCACCTTCCCTTCGGGCCAGCTATCCTCGCCAAGCTACGTACAGGGGGGCGAGGGGCTCATCCCCTGGATGGGCTGCGCTTCGTCAGAAGAAGGTCACATGAATCAATACAGCAGGCGGTGGATTACTGGGGTGAGATCAGGGCTGTTTCCCCCCTGATTGATGAACTCCACATTGCACCTGACATAATTGCAGATGGGGGACGTTAAACATCCCTCAATTACCGCGCACAACTGCTGCCCAACGCCACAGGCTAATGTGCGGTTTGGACCGGCCTCCTCCAAAACCACCTGGCCAGGGAGAGTGCTGCGGCAGGTGGCCGCTCGGCCCCGCGCTCAGCACCCCGAGGACGCCCCTTGATATTTCACCCGGAGGGGAGGGCTCTGGAGCAATGCAGCAGAAGGGGAGGAAGAACAGCCTTGGCGTGGGCTCCCTTCCGGCGTCCGGGCCTGTGCAAAAGGATGCAACCAGGCACAGCAGAAGGGCCATGGGAGGAAAAGCAGAGAACAGAAAAAGAGAAAGGATAGGGCTGTAGCTTAGCAGGAAAGCAGCTCAACCCCCAACAACTCCAGACAGGGCTGGGAAACCTCCTTCTTTGAAAATCTGGTGAACTTCTGCCAGTCAACATGGAGGAATGGATTTCTAATTTATTGAGAGCCAGTGTGGTGTAGTGGTTAGAGCATCAAACTTGGGACCTGGGAGACCAGGGTTCCAATCCCCGCTGAGCCACCTTAGGCTACTCACTGACTCTCATGGAATCAGAATTGGAAGGGACCCCGAGGGTCATCTAGTCCAACCCCCTGCAGTGCAGGAATCTCAGCTAAAGCATCCATGACAGATGGCCAATCCAACCTCTGCTTTAAAATCTCCAAGGAAAGAGAGTCCACAACTTTGCGAGGGAGTCTGTTACACAGTCAAACAGCTCTTTCCATGTATTTAGTCAGAATATCCTTTCTTGTAACTTGAAGCCATTTGTTCAGAGAAAATAAGCTTGCTCCATCTTCCATGTGACAGCTCTTTAGATATTTGAAGGTGCCTATCAAATCTCCTCTCAGTCGCCTCTTTTCCAGGCTAAACATACCCAGCTCCTTCAACCATTCCTCATAAGACTTGGTTTACAGACCCTTGATCATCTCAGCCTAACCTACCACACAATATTGTTGTGGAGCTTAACTCAAGTGGCCCTGAGTTAGAATAAAGGTGAATAATAATACTAATACTTATCTGTCTCCTGTCACCCAAAGGGTGTCCAAGCAACTTACGATGGGGAAAATATGCATAAATTCATTATGCGGCAGAAAAGAGGGAGGCATCATGTAACGCATCAATATTCCATACGACATATTGGAAAAACAAAGCATCACAACCATCCGTGACAATGATAGAAAACAGGAGCTGCACACAAGCAGTAAACACAGCAATACCCCCAACCAGCAAACTAGTAGATAAAAGTAAAAAGTGAGCGGTCCCAAAATCATTCGCATCAACCTAGGAATTTTGTTTTTTAATCTCCCTGCCCCACCAAGATGTCTGACGTCAAGGCCAGTTGCTGTCAATCCTTGGTCCAGGGATGCTCCAACACCTCTCCTCTTCCTTACAAGGCATGCCTGCTGTGTCCTCCTCACGACACACTGAGAGTGCCCCCTGGAAAAATGCAACTGGGGTCATTGACCCCGTAGCCACCCCCACCCCACCCCGACTACACTCCTGTTCCCCGCTGCTGCTGCTCCTCTCCTGCTCATAGCTGTCAACTTTTCCCTTTTCTTGCGAGGAATCCTATTCGGAATAAGGGAATTTCCCTTTAAAAAAGGGAAACGTTGACCGCTATGCTCCTGCTCCTGGTGCACAAGGGTATTTGCTTGAAGTTGACAGCCCCCTACCAAGTGAATGTCTTCTGTGCAGGACAGTGGTTTTCTGCCCCTGCATGAAAATGGGCACATGGGCAGGGAATGTTGTTGGTTTGTGTGTGTATTTGTGTGTGTGTGTGTGTGTGTGTGTGTGTGTGTTTTAAGAGTCCCATTGCAAAATACCCCACCCTGCTTTAGTGAGAGGCTGTGCAAAAGAGGAAGAGGCTGTTTTTGCCAAACCTAGGAACGAGGCAGCGGTCTAAACCAGGCTCTGTTTACTTTCAAGAAAGCCACACGTAGCACATGCAGCCATAAAGGCGGGTTCTTTTTTTTTTTATAAAAAAAAAACACATTCTGGAAGAAAAGGGAAGGCAATAAAGTGTGCAAAATCCAGGGCCTTTTTCAGAACGGCGGAGTCAGGCGGAGAACGAGACAGCGAAGCCATCTCCCGCAAGCGGCTTTGCCGGTATTTACGAAGCAAACACTTTCAGATGCAATAGCAATCAAGTGTTATGTGCAAAAATTGATTTTGTGCGTGAAATAGAATTCCCTCCAGGCGTTGCACAAAAGTCTGAAAATCGTTCTTATCAGTCAATAGCCACCTCGACGTGAGCAATAACCACCCAATTGCAACCATAGAGACTAGGGGGATTGAATTATTTGGGAGGGGGGTAAGGAGAGGAGGGTGTCGGTGTGTGTACAGTTGGAGGGGGTGGCAGTGGAGATGGTTATACAACCAGAAAGGGTTATGGGGGAAGGGAACTGGAAGAAAAGGTACAGCAAGCAAGATGGGAGGGCCGGCTGCGAGGATGTGGCATGTTCGGACTTGAAAAGAGAAAGATGAAAAAGAAAGGATTCCAGTTTCCAAAGGGGTGTGCGTTTGTGTGTGCAGTGGTCCTAGCTTAAAGGAAGTGCCTGCCATGAAATAGTACAGTGCCTAAATAAATACTTAGCAAGCCTCCTCAACACATATTTCACATACAGACATCCTAGGAGTCTCTGAAATTACTCTCTTTAGATATCGGCTGCAGCGCATCCTGGCAAACTCCCTTCTGAAGCGCAGGCTGGCAGAAGCTAAACGTTTTTTAGGGGTGCTTCGCAGCAGCTCCCAGCCTTGTCTTGGGAGGGGCTGTGCGGCAGGAACAACCGCTATTCCATGTATAGGCAGCTTCGCTGGCTGAACAAGCTGTCAATCAACGAGCATCCCAGGTCCAGATTAAACTCTGCGCCAACTACACTGGAGCAGCGTCTATAACAAAAAATAGGGCGCAGGGGAGGGGGAGGAAATTAGGGTTGGCAGCTTGCAAAAGCAGCATGAGCCTGTACTAATGGCAGGGCAGCGTCTCACACCCTCCTGTCCTTGCAACAGGCTTTATTAGTGCCAGGACAGGTTGTTGCTCCCGACACTAGAAAGCCGATCAGTTTAATCAAGAATCAGCCAGGTGGCAACAGGACTGCATGTAGTGGAGATGGTGATTAATAGCTTGGATTTATTACATTTGTAACAAATGGGATAAATCTTCCCATGAGTTCAAGGCAGTATACATTCTCCACTTTTCCCGATAAGTTTGCAGTGATGGGGGGAGGGGGAAGTCCTCGTGAAAATTCACCTGCATTTTAGTGAAAATTCCTCCTTATGCACTTCTGTACATATTTTCGATAAAGTAGTTACCCCTCATATAATGCATTGTCGTCTGCTGTTAGGATACCACCATATATGCATTTTATGCAAATTCTATCCCAGGCGATGCGTTTTTGTACATCTTTCTTGCCCAGAGAACTGCAAAAATTAGCAAAGTGTTAATTTATAAGGATGGCTATGTTTTGATTCACATGTTGTTTTGGAAACTGCAGTTTAGGTAGTTTCAACTTTAAATGTGAATTGAATCAGGTTGCTTAGACTGAAAACACCAAGGTCACCTCCTTGAGACTCATGGTTTAGCAGAGGTTTGAAACCAGGTTTCCTTAAACATCCTCTTAGTCCATTTCGGAGGACTGGGGTAAGATCTACATTGTTGTTGTTGTTGTTGTTGTTGTTGTTGTTGTCGTTACTACTGTTACTATTTATATACCTCCCTTCAACACAAGATCACAGAATTTGATTCATAAACCCCCAACCTCCCCACCCCAAACTAATAATTAAGGTTTGCCAACTGATCAGCTGATCTGATCTTTGTCACTGTGCCTTTAATAATAATATAAATGTAATCATTTTATTATTTATATCCCTCCCATCTGGCTGGGTTTCCCCAGCCACTCGGCGTGGCTTACAGCATATGTAAAAACACAACGAAACATCAAACATCAAAAAT